TAGGGGGTTTGTGATTCTGGTGGCTGCCACTTGCGCTTCTGAGATTGAGAAGCGAGATGCGGAGCCCAGTTACGTGACGAGCAATTACGGTAGTGCTTACCATGCATACATTCACCGTTACCACAATGGAAAGAGGTCTGCCGAGCCAAAGCCTGAACCATCATACCCAGTTTATTCCTTCGGCCAAAGACATGGTTATGGTCGCCATTTCTACAAGAGATCGGTAGAACCAGAGCCTGAGCTATCGTATCCTTTTTACTACGCTCCCTATCACGGTTATGACCGCCATATCTACAAAAGGTGTGCCGAACCTGAGCCTGAACCATTGTACCCGGTCTACTATGCTTCCCATCACGGTTATGGCCGCTATTTCTACAAGAGGTCTGCAGATCCTGAACCATCCTACTCAGTCTTCTCTAATTACGGTTACCGGCCACTAAACACTTATAGCAACCACCTTTACTAGACTTCTGCTGATCTAAATGACACCATCTATACCTAAATTTAGGCCTATGGGAAAGAAAACCCTTTCAACAATAATTTTCAGACTATGAGGCCTACATGACAAACAGTTGCAAAGATCGCACTCATCGCTAGGATCACCATGACATAAATGAACTGAATTACATTTTTAATGGTTGCAACATGATCAATGTTGTTTTGATGAGTGTCATGTTGTACAGTAAAGAAATATTTATGTATAATGACTTTAAGTCTATTATTAATTACCATTTGTATTATTATTAATTACAATTTGTATCAATAATATCCATTTGGGAACATGACGCTGAAAGCGATTCAGTATGTTACTAGTTGGTTGACATGGTTAAGATGTCTTAACAATACTCTACTCTCATTATATCATGCCCTAATCATTTCCTATCTTACATACGGTATCTGTGCATGGTGTTCAACCACTGTAAATTACTTCAACCCCATCATCGCTCTGCTAAAAATTGCTATCTGAACTATAACAAGCTCTTGTGTTTTGTCTGAAGACAACACACAAAGCCCCTCTGTTCAAGTACCTTAACATGATAAACATACATTCGCGCCACACATTCTCATGTGCTGTTTACAAGTACAAATACTTTCTCCTAACTGCTAATCATGATCTAAAACTGTTACTTGATAGGTGTAACAGAACCCCTGAGCACCTTACCAGACATAAAAATCTCTTTGATATCCCAATATTGAAACTAAATCTTTGCAAACATTCCATGCAAATAAAAGAACCCAGTCTATGGAACTCATTCCCTAATGAATATTGTCCAACCATCTATACCTACATTTAGGCCTATGAGGCATTATTCAAAAGTAAAACCAAAAAGTACCTAGTTTTATCCTCATTGTTTCCTACCTTGTGCTTCAAACTCACGCTGAATCTTGTACAACCCATTTCCCCAATATTAGTACTTAAGACATATCTTCACCCGTGTAATCACCTCTGTCAGTTTATATTGTAGTTATATGTTGATATAAAACATTGCTACAATGTAATTTCGAAAACAAAATTACATTCTTCTGCATAGTATGCCGCTCGTTAAGGTCAAGAACCCACAATTTGCCACCTCACCTAATCAATGCCAGCTTTTGCCCGCTCATAACTAATTTGATTTTTCCAGAACACTACTTGACCTCACCCTCTACACTACATCTATCCCAGAAGTCACCTTATCGACACTTTATTACACCAGTTCCTCAGATAACTTCACCCACACTACACTACACACTCACCCGGGTCTGGTAGCTGAGTGGACAGCGTGCAGGACTCGTAATTCTGTGGCCCGGGTTCGATTCCCGGACCAGGCAGAAAGAAATGGGCAAAGTTTCTTTTACCTTGATGGCTCTGTTACCTAGCAGTAAATAGGTACCTGGAAGTTAGATAACTGTTCCGGGCTGTTTCCTGGGTGTGAGAGTGTGTGAAAAAAACCTAGTAGTTAGTAACAGTTGATTGATTGACAGTTGAGAGGCTGGCTGAAAGAGCAGAGCTCAACCCCCGCAAGCACAACTAGGTGAATACTACACCCATTGCATAGGCTATTTCGCCCCACCAATATTATGGCTACCCAATGTTAAAATCACAATAGCGTGATGCATCAAATGAACAAATCCACAAGGGCAGTGACGAGGGTTCGAACATTCGTCCGAGAGGATTGCCCTAATCGACTGCCTCAGTCGATTAAGGCAGCGTCTGGGATTCTCTCGGACGTAGGTTCGAACCATCGTTACGGCCGTTGTGGATTTGCTCAGCTCACCACATCCATCTTAAACATTATCACACCCATCCATCCATCCTTCAACAAACATTTGCTCACCACACCCTTAACCTCTCCAGCAAGGCTCTACAGACCATCTCAAATAAGCACAATAAAATTAAACATTCTGTTTGACAAATTAGCCGCGGCACGAAGCCATCAGAGCTAAATTTATCTCAAAGGCGTCAGTGAAATCTTCCGTGTTGAGGCGTGATGGTAACACTTGATACAAACTCCTGAATTTCCTACAATTCTTGAAACATAGTTTTTATTGTTATTCTCATGCGGCTCCTGACAAATTCTGAGTAACTATACTTATTGTGTTATAAAACTCCTTTAACACGCATATGAACAATTATTATTCTCTAAATAATGATTGGATGACATGTTTTATGCTCTATTGAAAAAATCATATTTATTATGTTTAGGCTTTTACTTATTATTCAATTCATATAATGTTCTTTTATTCTATTATCCACATTTTTCCTGCCTATATTTTATACGCTATATACTGCATCTTGAGGTTACCTTGAGTTGATTTCGGGGCTTAGCGTCCCGAGGCATGGTCCCGGACCATGCGTCCCGAGGCATAGTCCCGGACCATGCCTCATTTTTGTTGTCATTGTGGCAGCATGTTTACTTACAGCATGAGTGGCACTAGGCACTGTTCCTGATATATGTAAATGAACTTCTAGAGGGAATAGATTCATTCCTCTCATTGTTTGCTGATGATGCAAAAATTATGAGGAGGATTAAGACGGAGGAAGATAATATGAGGCTACAAGATGACCTAGACAGACTGAATGAATGGTCTAACAAATGTCTACTAAAGTTCAACCCAGAGTATATGCAAGGTAATGATACTATACTGTGGAAACAGGAGGTCAGATACAGGATAGTAATTATGGGGAGGATTAAGACGGAGGAAGATAATATGAGGCTACAAGATGACCTAGACAGACTGAATGAATGGTCTAACAAATGTCTACTAAAGTTTAACCCCGAGTATATGCAAGGTAATGAAACTATACTGTGGAAACAGGAGGTCAGATACAGGATAGTGAATGAGAGATGAAGGCATTCATGAAACGGGCAAAGAGAAAGATCTAGAAGTTGATGTCACACCAAACCTGTCTTCTAAAGGGCACATCAAGAGAATACCATCTGCGGCGTATGCGAGGCTGGCTAACATCAGAACTGCCTTCAGGAACCTGTGTAGGGAATCATTCAGAACCTTGTATACCGCATATGTAAGACCAATCCTGGAATATGCAGCCCCAGCATGGAGCCCGTACCTTGTCAAGCACAAGATGAACCTGGTAAAAGTTCTGAGGTATGCCACTAGGCTAGTCCCAGAACTAAGAGGCATGAGTTACGAGGAAAGGCTGCGTGAAATGAACCTCACGACACTGGAAGACAGAAGAGTAGGGGGAGAGATGATCACTACATACAATATTCTCAGAGGAATTGACAGGGTTGATTTCGAGTTGTTGATTTGAGTTGAGTTGATTTCGAGCACCCCCTGGAAGCAGCCCGTGACAACTGACTAACTCCCAGGTACCTATTTACTGCTAGGTAACAGGACCATAGGATGAAGGAAACTCTGTCCATCGTTTCTCGCCGGCGCCCGGGGAAACAGGATCACGTTCCAGCGTGCTGTCCGCTCGGCTCCATTCGGGTAGATAAAGATAAACTGTTTAACACGGGTGGTACACGAACAAGGGGACACAGGTGGAAACTGAGTACCCAAATGAGCCACTGGGACATTAGAAAGAACATTTTCAGTGTCAGGGTAGTTAACAGATGGAATGCATTAGGCAGTGATGTGGTGGAGGTTGACTCCATACAAAGTTTCAAATGTAGATATGTTAGTGCCCAGTAGGTTCAGGAATCTGTACACCAGTTGATTGACAGTTGAGAAGCGGGACCAAAGAGCCGGAGCTGAACCCCCGCAAACACAAATAGGTGAGTACAGTGAACTAGCTCTCGTGGGCTGAAATTATTTTTTTCGTGTAAGACTGTCAGTAAATATATTTCATCAACACTCAGAATACTCTACTGATAAACTAATATCACTTTAACCTTACATTAATGCGAGTCTTAGTAAATTTTATCGTATTTTACCCATATTTGCATCAGAGGAAAGAACCGACAATATTTATAAAATAGATGCTTTGACTCGGCGAGCCGCGGCCCCTTCCCATCCAATGCTATTCCATCCACCTAACATCTGTGTAAAGTATACATAAAAAATATATATTGATTTTTATTTTACTTAAATATAAATATTTAATTTTATTTAAATATAAATACATTTAAATACTAAAAATATTTAAATGCTGACATCTCAATTTGAACTTACTGTATTGTATTTTATAGCAAACTGTTATGTAGAATTTAGTTTTTGTCAAAATGTTATTAGATGTGTATTGTGTATTTAAATATACGTCTATTTCGCATGCCTCCTAAAGCAAGCAACAATTTCCACGGAAATCGTTTCCTTGGTTCAATACCAAATCGCAATATATACAAGTATATTCTCTATAAAATTAATTAATTACATACATCTTTTTTCATCAATATTATTGACGGAAGTTAATATATTCTTCCAGATATATTAACCATATCAACATTAAACATCTTAATCATCTCAACCAACCGGAAACACATTGAATCGTTTTCAGCGTTATTATATCACTATGATATTATTGATGCAAATGATAATTAATAATAAATTTAACAATTATTATATAGATTTATTTCTTTGCTGTACAACAGAACACTCAACAAAACAACATTAAACTTGTTAAATAATTTAATGTGTATTTCAGCTCATGGATGTCATAATGATAGTAATCCTGGCGATGAGTGCAATCTTTGCAATTGTTTGTCATGTAGGCCTCGTAGTCTGAAAATTATTGTTGAGATGGTTTACCATATTTTTTTTATTTCCCGTAGGCCTAAATGTAAGTAGAGATGTTGTCATTTAAATCAGCAGAAATCTAGTAAAGGTGGTGACTATAAGGGTTTAGTGGCCGGTAACCATAATTAGAGAAGACTGAGTAGGATGGTTCAGGATCTGCAGACCTCTTGTAGAAATGGCGGCGATAACTGTGACGGGGAGCGGAGTAGAGAGTATACGATGGTTCAGGTTCTGGTTCGGCAGACCTCTTGTAGTAATGGCGGCGATAACTGTGACGGGGAGCGTAGTAGACAGGATACAATGGTTCAGGCTCTGGTTCGGCAGACCTCTTGTAGAAATGGCGGCGATAACTGTGACGGGGAGCGTAGTAGACAGGATACAATGGTTCAGGCTCTGGTTCGGCAGACCTCTTGTAGTAATGGTGGCCATAACCATATCGAAGGGTTCAGGCTCTGGTTCGGCAGACCTCTTGTAGTAATGGTGGCCATAACCAAATCGAAGGCCGGAGGAATAAATTGGGTATGATGGTTCAGGCTCTGGCTCGGCAGACCTCTTTCCATTGTGGTAATGGTGAATGTATGCAGGGTAAGCACTACCGTAATTGCTCGTCACGTAACTGGGCTCCGCATCTCGCTTCTCAATCTCAGAAGCGCAAGCGGCAGCTGCCAGGATCACAAACACCTAAATATGAAAATATCACACATACAGTCATAAAATATTTAGCAGTAAAGTACTGTATTGTCATTCGCGTAAATGAAATATTCTTCGAAAAGACCACTACTTTTCTTGATATTTTATGTAATACATTGCATTAAATATTAACCAATATCAGAGAGTCCGATTGTTAGTGCAACTTACCAAGAGCTTCATGGCTGAAAGTTGGTTAGCTGTGGCCACAGCTGAGCGAGTGTGTCTTGCAGCAGTGATGCCGGGCTTTTATACCTGAGAGTCTTGAGTCCTTGAATCGTAATATAGTGTTATAGTGACGTTCCACTGAGAAAGCTGTAATTAATATGTTTCTTATCTCTTTATTTTATTAAATTTTTCCATATATAATCAATTACATATTATATTATAAGATTTTCCTTTAGGTTAATAAATATAAAACCCTAGTTAAATGCCAAATATTAAATATATGAATTTGTTTTACTTCTTGTTAAGAGAATGCACTGTTTACGATTCCTTGTTAATCTTAGCAAGTATTGCATACTTGGTATATACAGGGATAGTTTACCTTGGTCATTTATTATGTTCCATACTGAAATATGCTTAGTGGTTCGCAAGTAATCTCATGTTGTAGCTTTAATACTTCCCTCGGTTTAAAAGCCTTAAACCTAATTCCATTCCAACATGTGCTAGACTTTTCAAGTAATATAGTGTTAGGCAAATCTAAGTATTCTTGCGAATTTGGTAATACACTTTAATACAATTTACTGACTACATTAAAACAATTTTTTTTGTTTATTAATTCCAGGTTTTACTTTTTCTTTGAATTACTTTTCAAGTAATTAAAATTTAATTGTAAATATTTTTTAATTAATTTGAATTAATTAACAAAAAATAAATTACTAATTTTATTAGGTAATTTATAAATTATAATGTATAATATTTATGGCTCACCATAGCCCGTGCTACTTGGAACTTTTGTTCTGCGTAGCGGAATCTAAAACAACAATCATTGTTTGGACAAGTTAGCGACCCTCTCCTGTGCCAGGTAAGTCCACAAGGGGCTCACCATAGCCTGTGCTACTTGCCCCGCTCCTGTGCCAGGTAAATCCTCTACTTGCTAACCATAGCCCATACTACTTATTTATTTATTTATTTATTTATTTATTTATTTATTTATTTATACAAGAAGGTACATTGGGTTTGTGAGAATATATAGCATGGTATTTACAATCTTGTAAAGCCACTAGTGCGCGCATCGTTTCGGGCAGGTTCCTAATCTAACAGATAATTTTAAGTAGGTAAATTCTAGCGGAATTAATAAAATGATAACAGATACATTGCAAGAAGGGAAAAAAATGAGATGAGAGAGACTAGAAGGTATATTAAAGCACATTGGTATATTATAGCTCTGATTGCACTGACAGCTTCATTGGTAATTTAAACTAAGATTAATAGGCACCATAAATAGGAGGGAGCCGGTCGGCCGAGCGGACAGCACGCTGGACTTGTGATACTGTGGTCCTGGGTTCGATCGCAGGCGCCGGCGAGAAACAATGGGCAGAGTTTCTTTCACCCTATGCCCCTGTTACTTAGCAGCAAATAGGTACCTGGGTGTTAGTCAGCTGTCACGGGCTGCTTCCTGGGGGTGGAGGCCTGGTCGAGGACCGGGCCAGGGGACACTAAAGCCCCGAAATCAACTCAAGATAACCTCAAGATAACCATACATCAAATTGAAAGCACATATAAGAAGACAGCAATAATAAAGTAAATGCAATAAAGTACAAATAAAGTTCAATGGAAAAGTTGTTTGGATTTGGTACATGAAGATTGGGAGATTGGGTAGCACTAGATAAGGTGCAATTTTAAAGCAACAAGGTAGAAAACTATGAAGGTGAAATTAGGTATTTTTTAGTTTTGTATTTGAAAGACGCAAAAGTTGGACAACTTTTCAATTCATTAGGGAATGAGTTCCATAAACTAGGTCCCTTTATTTGCATAGAGTGTTTGCACAGATTAAGTTTGACTTTAGGGATATCAAAGAGATATTTATTTCTGGTGTGGTGATAAGGGTCCTATTACATCTCTCTAGGGAGAATTTCAGAGCATTATTTGCATTTAAGAACAGGGTTTTGTAAATGTAGTTGACACAAGAGAATATGTGTGGAGTGAGATTATGTTTAGCATGTTTAGGGAGTTAAACAAGGGTGCTGAGTGTTGTCTGAAAGCATAATTTTTTATTATTCTGATAGTTGATTTTTGCTGGGTGATGATGGACCTGAGGTGGTTTGCAGTGGTTGAACCCCATGCACAGATACTATAATTAAGATAGGGATAGATTAGTGCACAATATAATGAGATGAGAGCAGAGTTAGGTACATAATATCTGATTTTGGAGAGTATACCAACGGTTTTAGAGACTTTCTTAGTTATGTGTTGTATGTGGGTGCTGAAGTTGTGTCTCTTGTCTAGGAATAGGCCAAGAAACTTTCCATCATTTTTACTACTAATGTTAACATTGTCTATCTGAAGCTGAATTGCATTTGTTGATTTGCTTCCAAATAAGATGTAGTAGGTCTTTTCTATGTTAAGTGTTAGTTTGTTGGTTGACATCCATAAGTGGACTTTTTTTTAGTTCATTATTAACAACATTATTTGGTGTATGTGGGTTGGGGTTAGAGTAGATGAGGGTAGTATCATCAGCAAACATTATAGGTTTCAGAATGTTAGAGACATTAGGTAGATCATTGATGTATATAAGGAATAAGAGAGGTCCCAAGATGTTGCCCTGTGGCACTCCAACGGTTATTGGTAGAGTGGGAGAGGTTATATCATTTATGGCTACATATTGGTGTCTATCACTAAGATAGGATTGGACATGCCATTCCTCGGATTCCATAATGATGGAGTTTACGTAAGAGGTAGTTGTCATTAACAGCATCAAAGGCCTTTCTCAGGTGAATGAAGAGTCCAATCGGAAACTCATTTTTGTCAAGGGCTGAGTAAATTATATGAAGGAGACTAATATTTGCATCGTTGGTACTCTTTTGGGAGTGGAAGCCAAACTGACAGGGGCTGAGTATGTCGAATCTTACGAGGTAGGAGTAGAGCTGTTTGTAGATAGTTTTTTTTTCAAATATTTTTGATAGAATGGGTAGGTTTGATATTGGTCTATAATTGTTTATGTCTGTCTGATTGCCTCCTTTATGAACTGGCGTTACTCTTGCTTCTTTTAAAGATATCAGGGAAGGTATGACATTTTAGAGATTTGTTGAACAGCAGAGCTATGGGTGCTGCAAGGGCATGGGAGGCGATCTTGTATACAATGGATGGGATTTCACTGTTGTTCCCAGCCTCGGTTTTTAGTGAGTGTATGAAGGACACAACATCTGTCGGGCTGACTGGTGAAAGGAGAAGAGAGTTTGGATAGCTGCCTGAGAAATATGTGTCTGAGAGATATTAACTGGGAATCTGAATTCAATAATGCCCAGGATATAAACTCATCAACTAAACGCTTTCTCTCCAAAACTCTAAGCCTCTACAACACTCACTGTCCCCTCCTTACCAAACAAGTAACTGACAAAAGAATAAACAATCCGTGGCTCACAGGTGGCATATTCAAATCAATCAACAAAAAACATGAATATATAAAGAAATTTAGGATTGGCCTAGTTATAAAGGAAGTAGTTAAAAGGTAGTCATCAATGATTACCAGTATCATAAGAAAAGCTAAACTTTCACTTTATGATACTAGACTCAAAGAAGGAAAAAGCAACATGAAAAGCACATGGAAAAGCCATCTCTAATATCCTAGGAACTAAACAACACTCCCACAACCAGATAACACTCTCTACGGAAGGCTATACACCGTCAACTGATTTAGAAATGGCAAATGAATTTAATAGCTTCTTTTCATCGGTTGGTGGTAACCTCGCCAGTAAAATCCCACAGACTCAGACACATATCTCTCAGGCAGCTATCCAAACTATCTTCTTCTTTCACCAGTCAGCCCGACAGATGTTGTGTCCATCATACACTCGCTAAAAACCAAGGCTGGGAACAACAGTGAAATCCCATCTATTGTATACAAGAGCGCCTCCCATGCCCTTGTGGCATCCATAGCTCTGCTGTTCAACAAATCCCTTGAGTGTCATACCTTCCTTGATATCCTTAAAAAAAAGCAAGAGTAACGCCAGTTCATAAAGGAGGCAATCCGACAGACATAAACAATTACAGACCAATATCAAACCTACCCATACTAAAGAGAATACTTGAAAAAATGATCTGCAAACAGCTCTACTCCTACCTCGTAAAATTCGACATACTCAGCCCCTGTCAGTTTGGCTTCCGTTCCCAAAAGAATACCAACGATGCAATTATTAGTCTCCTTGATATAATTTACTCAACCCTTGAAGAAAAATGAGTTTCCGATTGGACTCTTCATTGACCTGAGAAAGGCCTTTGATACTGTTAATCACAACTACCTCTTAGGTAATCTCCATCATTATGAAATCCGAGGCATGTCCTGGACTATATCCAATCCTATCTTAGTGATAGACACCAATATGTAGCCATAAATGATATAACCTTGCCCACTCTACCAATACCCATTGGAGTGCCACAGGGCAGCATCTTGGGCCTCTCATATTTCTTTTATACATCAATGATCTGCTTAATGTCACCAACATTCTGAAACCTATATTGTTTGCTGATGATACTACCCTCATCTACTCTAACCCCAACCCACATACACTAAATAAAGTTGTTAATAATAATGAACTAAAAAAAGTCCACTTATGGATGTCAACCAACAAACTAACACTTAACATAGAAAAGACCTACTACATCTTATTTGGATGGGGGGGGGGGGGGGAAAAAGGGGGGAAACTTCAGTGATGGGATCATCAGCATCGTTAATTGCCTGGAAAGAGATGTTGTTGTCTTGTCTATATACTAAGTTCTATGAGGCTTACAGTCCCAAAGTGGGCATTTGAAGACATAGACGACATTGGTCTCTTTCAAAGCATTCTGCTTTGTGTCTGGTGAGTTTCTCATTAGTAGGTTGGCCGTTTTTTGGTTTTATAGTAAACCGTCAATTGTATCTTCTGATTTTTGTCTGTAGGGATAACGTTCCTATTAGCAATATCTTTCAGGACCCTTTCCTCTGTTTTATGAGCTGTGGAAAAGAAGTTCCTGTAAAATAGTCTAATAGGGGGTACAGGTGTTGTGTTAGTTGTCTCTTCAGAGGTTGCATGGCTTTTCACCTTCCTTCTTATGATG